GACTTAAACCTATAAAATATAATATATTAAAAACACTAGTTAAACTAATAGCAAGCACTACAATTAAATATTATCTAGGCAGGCCAAAATACTACCGAAATAATCCAAGTAGAATATCATAGCATCTAGGGGTGGGGAGAAAAAATCAAAACAGCATAGTATTGTGATATTTTTGTGTGGCAATATCGTATCATCACAAAGTGCCAAGTATTGGATTTTTTTAATTACATAAGTTATTAATATTACAAATACAAAATAAACTTTGTGTAGCCTACTGGAATAACATAATCAGTTGCTTTTTAGTCCACTACATACATTTTGTTGCAAAAAAAAAAAAAAAAAAAGAAGTGAGATGAACACACAGAAACTTTATCTTATTAGATAATACAGATGTTGACAAAATTTTCCTTTGGGGACATAATTTGCAGTTGAAAACAGGTAATAAATCACAAAATATTGTAATATGTTTTATTGCAACACTAAGCATATCACAACACGTTTTAATTTGCAATAATATTGTACTGTGACTAAAGTATCCTGATGATATCTTATCATGAAGCCTCTGGTGATTCCCACCCGGAATAGCATTAAATAAACTACTCATCTGACAACCCCCTTGGCAAATGTATCAACACATTTGGTATTTTTACTCTATGCCACAAACATTTTGCATGTCACACACTATAGAGTGTAGCCCAGCTACCTGTTTCACCATGTTTCTGGTCTTTATGCTAAGCTAAGCTAACTGTCTGCTGGCTGTAACTTGGATGGACATGGATGACAGTGGTATCAGTCCTCTTCTTTAACTCTCGGCAAGAACACAAATAAGCACACTTCTCAAAATGTTGAGTTTGTCTTTACTGCTACTCGCTCATGTTGTGCTGCATATGAATTATTAATTAATTTGGATCATGGTTACCACAGCTCAGGGGTGGGAATCACCAGAGGCCCCCCGATTTGATATTATCAAGATACATAAGTCATGATACAATATTATTGTGATTTTTTTTAGCAATAACATATGCAGATATATTGTGATTTATTAACTTTTTTAACTTCAAATTATGTATTAAGTAAGAAAAACTTTGTCAAGTAGTTAGTCTGTTTAACTCACTTCAATCATTTTTTATTGCAGCAAAATGTATCAAGTTGACTAAAAACGCCACTGATTCTAGCTGGCTGCCAAAAGTTTAATTTGTATTTGCAATTTTAATAATTTATGTAATAAAAAAAGGTACTTAGTTTCAGTGTATCAATACAATATAATATTACCACACACATAATCATAATATTGTGCTGCATTTTTCCCCACCTTTACTGCAGCTTAATATCACAATATAATGACCCTTTACCAGTCCCTCCAGGATGATGCGATCGCAACAATTAATGCAAATTCAGCCAATTTCAGTGAATTCTGCGTGACCTTGCAATTTTATCTAGTCACCACAACTTTACTGCAAATTTGACTATTTCAAATGGATGAAACTTCATTTCACTGGAGAGCTGCGTGTCGGGTATCGATGTGCTCAGCTCCTCTCTCTTTCTGCAGGACCGGAGCTCTGTGCCTAGAGTCACGCACGCACGCACGCAGGCACGCATGCAGGCAGGCACGCACACAGTGACAGGGCTAACTGTTAGCATCACAAAGCTAATGTTACCCCATGGTTGTTAACAAGTTTTATGACAGAGTCGGCTGTTTTGCTGTCACTATGAGATTAAAGGTGCTGACACACCAAACCGACATCAAAGAACTAGCTGCGATGAAAGCCAACTGTTGCGTCATCTCACATCGCCTCAAGTCGGCCTGTGTCAGTTGCATTTAAACACTACCAAGACTACATCCGACGGCCAACTAGCACGTACGTTCTGCGCCTGCGTGAGGAAATATCTCAAAAAGGGAAACCGGAAGTCCGAGGAATGCATGAGATAAACAAAGTAGCGGTTGCCTACTGCTGTTATAAACCAAAAAGAAGAAGAAGAAAAAGTTTTTCAAAGAGAGTGGTGCATCCTGTCAGCCAAGGGGTTTCCTATCTGTGCAGCCGAGCACCGTAGCACCTCCACGGACTATTACATCCAGATGGTCCCAGTGTTTCCTCCGCAGGCTCCACTTCACTCAGCTGCCCGACTAACCCGCTGCTTCTTCCCACTTTAACCTGAATAACAAACCAGGGCTCGGTGCTCCGGTTGGATCCAAACGGAGAGCTGGGGCTAGCTGGGAGGCTAGCGAAGCATTAGCCGCAGCATGACCGGAGTCTGTCGGGCAGCTGAGTGAAGTGGAGCCTGAGGAGGAAGCACCGGTTAGACCCGGTTTCACTACAGGCAGATTCACTTGCTACAGGGGTGAGGAAATAAAACTTGAACAGCCAATCAGAGTGAACTCTCTCACTGACAAGCTCCGCCGCTGATTCAACATGCTCAATCGGTCGAAAAGCCGCCAACAGGGGTCCGATTAGTGCGGGACACACCGCAAAAACTAGGGCGACAGACGCTCACCGACGGGCCGTCATTGGCCGACGGCTGACCATCGGCCTGGTGTGTTAGCACCAACAGCTTGGTGTCGGATATTAACCGTTGCTGCGAGGCTTCTGTCCAAGCGGTAAAATATGATAAGTAGTGATGAGATCACATTATGCCGTGTTAGCTCGTGCTAACCACGCAGAGAGAGGGCAGGAAGAGAGCAGCTAATTCTGTGGGAAACACTGAAAGTTCATAATAAAAACTCCTAATCTCAGACAGCATTACAACTATTTTTGCAATTTTCACTTTTCACTGCGATTTTATTGCCAAAAAAAAAAAAAAAAAAAAAAAAAAAAAAAAAAAAAAAAAAAAAAAAAAAAAAAAAAAAAAAGGCCTGTAAATGCTGCAACATGTCTGTAAGTTTTAGAAAAGCTGCTGTGAAATCAGGCATTTTAAGCTGCAACAAACCAAAAAACAGCCAGCAAAATCCAAGAGGGACTGAATAATAATCTGGAAGTACCAAAAGTGACATGATACTCACTTCAGGAACAGGCTGTGGTAAAACTCCATTATCTTTGCAGCTGCCACTGGGCAAGGTCGCTGGACTTGTATTAGTTGAGCTGGTGCAGCCTGGAACATGTCCTGTGACAGGCTGCTGCCTCTCTGGACTTTTCCTTATTGGGGAAGTCAGGCTGGTTGAACTGGAGTGAGGGGCACACTTGTAAAAAGGAGTGTCTGGTGGTGTGGGGTCTGTTTCTGGCTGTGTTCCAGGTGGAGTTATAGAGGACTTGGTACTGTCTGATGGCTTGGTAATGGTGCTGGTTAACTCTAGAGGCTGCTGTTTGATTATAGGACTGGAAGCAGAGGTATAAGATGAGGCTGGGGTGACATTTGGAGCAGTGCTGTTTGGTGGTGGGGAACTTCCTCTCCCTGCCCCTTCCTCAGATGGCAGCTGGAAATGTTGGACCAGTGGATGTGGCAAGTCCTGGAAGTGTGAGGCCTCCTGTGGCTGCAGAGGGGACACCGGTGTGGGGGGCTCCGAGGACCTGGACTGAGACTGAATGGAGACCTGCTGAGCAGACTCAGCAAGAGCCAGGGCCAACATGCGGGCAGCATTTTTAGGAGGAGGAGGAGGAGGAGCAGTAGTGGGAGCTGAAGAGCTGAGGGAACGAGGGGTGAGGTCCTTTGAAGAATCCGGAGCTACGACTCCTAGCAAGGACACAAAAATACAAGGGATCTATAGCTGAAGTACGTATAAGCAAGAGAGCAGTAGATGAACAAAAAGAACTGAGAGAAGGTAGGCTGGTTTTAAGATGCTTCAAAACTGGGAAGGCGGGGAAAAGTAAAGCGTGCTGCTTGGGCATCATATGAAAAGATTTATTGAAAATGAAATCCATGCAAACCTGGGAAACTAAACCTAGAAAAAAAGCATTCGTAGAATTAATAGCATGACTTATTTGTAATCTGCATTATGGAAACGAAATAGTGACAAGACAGAAAGAACCAAAAACAACACTTAAATGAGGTCATTCTCTGCTCCCTACCTTGATGCTCCTGGCTGCTTGCAGCTGGCGCCTGCTGTATGCTGTCCTCTCCTTTCAGCTCTCGACTGTCCACACTGTCAAAGGCTGCCAGTTTAGAGTGCAGCTCCATTTGGAAAGCTTCACTTAGCGATGGCTCAGCTGCCCGCAACAGCACACTGCCCATCAGGGGTGGAGAGTCCTTGGCTATTGAAGGAGGAGATAATGGTTGTGGAGACACAATCTGTCCCGCTGTGTTCTGGTCAGGCGTCTCTGTAGAGAAAAGCTCTGAAGTTGCAAATTTGGTCAAACTAGTGGTTTTTCCACATTTAATAGGCGACACAGCCTGTGTGGGTTTATCAGTGTAAGAATAGGAAGTGGTCAGTTTCTTGCTTTCCACCTTCTCTCCAGCAGCCACGCTCAAGTCTGTGGACAACACGGGCGACATCAAGCTACCCAGGATGGTGGTAGAGATGAAGTTAGAGCCATTGGTCTCGCCACAGACACTGCCCGGGCTCCTCTTTAACGTGGAACCCTCAGCCCCGGCAGGTGAGTCATCTAGGGGAAAGGAGTAGGAGGTGTCGGGGAGACTGCACTGGAAAGACATGGGGTCAAAGTCCAAGGAGGCCATGCCAATGTCTGGCGGGCTGAGGTCCACATCTTCACCTGCTGAGCGGGGAGGTGATATGAGGGCAGGCACACAGATGGGCCCGTCATCTCCGTCGCTGTCTTCTGTGGCACCCAGGTTGTCATAGGAGTTGCAGTGCTGCCGGCTGTCCAGCAGCTCGCCATTAAAAGAAGCTGACAGGGCGTCGCTGCTGGAGCGTGGCCGCCTAGGACGGTACACCTTGGACTCTCCTGAGAAAGGACAAGCAAATAATCAGAACCTGTTTCTTTAAACTGGCCCTGAGTATAACTTTAGTCTGTACTGTGGAAAGAGCACTTGAAATATGTTTTTACATATACATAAAAATATGATATGGGCAGCACTGACTGATTACACCTGTTATGTTGAGTAAAAGATTACCTTCAACATTGTGCAGGGAGCTCAATGACTCTTCACTTTTGGCTGATCTTAACGTTGCAGTGTCTCCTCTGCCTCCTGAAACACAGCAATTAAAAGTATTCAGCCTTCTTTGGTCAGATAAGATCTTCTCATTGCACAGCCGAAAGTGAAAATTGGACTACTTTAATTTCAATCGTGGAGGAAGGACTCACCGGCCAGAGCCATAGCCTTTAGTTCATTAGGTTCACTAGGGTTACGGTGCAGCTTGCGCTTGGACATGGAGGAAGACTTGCCCAGGTTGAAGAAAGAACGCCAACTACCCACAGGAGACTTCTTGGATTTAATAGGAGGCCTCTTCCTATGATTAAAAAATGGTGGTGGGCAAGCAGGCAGGGGAAAGTTAATATCACTAACTTACATACACAACTGAATGACAACTTTCGACAAAATGATCAATCACATGCATCTGTTTTAAACTGCTTTTTCAGCATTATCTCCATGTTTAGGGCATCCAGTGTCAGCCCAAGTCTGACATTGCAGACAGTTAGGGCAAACTGGTAATATGGTGCAGGTTAAAAATGACTGTGTCTGCAGTTTGACCAGCAACCAGCAGGGGGAGACACATTCCAATATGATGGTCAAAGCCCAACTGACGTTTAAATGCATGTCTTTTGCAACAAATTCTACAGTAGATGTGCACTCAGTGGTGTGTAGAGTACTGGAAATCTATACTCAAGTACACGTGTAATAACTCCTGTAAAAGATGACTCAAGTACAAGTGAAAATTACCGTTTGAGAGGCCTTAAGTAACAGTAAAAAATACCTAGTTAATAAATTACTCAAAGTACAAGCTACTTTCCATTTTAATATTTTTTAGGGTGTCTGGCCAGTTCAAAAAAAAAAAAAGAAAAAACAGAAATTGTTGATAAAGTTTTTAAAATTAATTAATAATCCTACCCTTTTTGATGAGGATTAATGATTTTAAAAGGCCAACAGACAACTAGCTACAACATAAAGTTGTCATTATCATAACATCAAAGATTAACACTACACATGAAAAATTAACGTACCAGTAACTAACTACATTTTCACAAACTGTGTGCAAAACTTCAGTGTGCTTGCAGAGGTTAGAAGAGGAGTTTTTAAAAACAGAGAACTCAGGGTTTTTTGGGATGCACAGCAAGCCCTTCATTATCTAACTGTTGTCTGTTTTTGATTCTGGTATAAAAAGCGTGGCCAGATGTGGCAAGGGAGTGCAGGGTTTCCCCCAGAAAGGTTGATAGGTGCTGCTCGGCACAGCTTGGTGGATTAGTGTGGTTTCTGACAAGGGCCAGCAACAGACTTTGTTTTGATTTTGATGTTAACAATGCAGCTAAGAAATTAAAATAAGTAGCATTTGGTCTCACATGCATAAGCTTCTACCCTCAAGCCATAAATATACTGAGTGATGACCTCCTAACATTTACAGTTATTTATTACTACTATATTAAAGAAACTGACTACTCATTTTACTGAAATCATCTTTATGATTTTATTTAACAAAGAAATTGAATTACATTTAATTGAATATGGTATATGATGCAGATTTGGTGTGTATTCATGAGTGATAGGGGGCAAAACAAGATTTTGCTTGTTGTAACAAAGGTATAAATGGCAAATGCAGTGAAAAAAAAGTAGATCACTGACTACAAAAATATATACTCGAGTAAACAGTAGAAGTACAGTAAAAAAAAAGGACTTGAAGTGTACACATTCTTAAAAAAATATTTCGACTTAATGTGTCTCGTAACGCCTTACTATCTATCCCTGTGTGCATTGTAAGAAAAATATCTATGTCTCTGTCTGTGTCTTAATTGCGATTTTATAGTAATTTGCTTTATAAAGACAGTCATTAAATTACCTAACAGGAAAAGGAGTTAACAAACCTCTCAGTCGGAAACTCGATAACAGTGTGGAACTTTCCCTGCAGGGCAGCTGGACCTTCGCCCACCTCGATGTACTTGCTGTCTTCAGTGACTGGAGAGTTGATCTGAGCCTGGGTCCTGGCTTGGGCTTCCTCCAGACTCAGAAGTTTAGTGGAGGGTGATGAAACCAGCAGGGACTTGGGCCGTGACAATGAGTTGTGACCTGGTGATGTGGAATGGTGTTTATTTCTTACGGAGAGGCAGCAGTGGGTAGTGGAATGACAATGTGAATACAGGTCTTATCTAACTGATGCCTATGCGTACCTGCTCCTTCCCGTATTAGTGAGCTGAGCTTAGTGCTGAAGAGAACATCCACATGGTTGAGGATGAACTCCACCACCACCGACTGGATTCTGACTTCCATGAAGGCCGCTGTGCCGCTGAAGCATGCAGATTCAATCTGCTTTGACCTGACAACAGTGAAAAGTAAAGCATTATGTTTAATACATTAAATGTGCAACATTTTAAGGTAGTAAATCAAACATACTTTGTGACAAGTCCACCTGAAAATGCTGAAGTGGTGAGATTATAAGTTACATCATTTTTGTAAAATGATTTTGAGATGCATTTCCTGCATTTGATGTTGTCTACAGTACAGGCCAAAAGTTTGGACACACCTTCTCATTCAATGCGTTTTCTTTATTTTCATGACTATTTACATTGTAGATTCTCACTGAAGGCATCAAAACTATGAATGAACACATGTGGAGTTATGTACTTAACAAAAAAAGGTGAAATAACTGAAAACATGTTTTATATTCTAGTTTCTTCAAAATAGCCACCCTTTGCTCTGATTACTGCTTTGCACACTCTTGGCATTCTCTCCATGAGCTTCAAGAGGTAGTCACCTGAAATGGTTTCCACTTCACAGGTGTGCCTTATCAGGGTTAATTAGTGGAATTTCTTGCTTTATCAATGGGGTTGGGACCATCAGTTGTGTTGTGCAGAAGTCAGGTTAATACACAGCCGACAGCCCTATTGGACCACTGTTAAAATTCATATTATGGCAAGAACCAATCAGCTAACTAAAGAAAAACGAGTGGCCATCATTACTTTAAGAAATGAAGGTCAGTCAGTCCGGAAAATTGCAAAAACTTTAAATGTGTCCCCAAGTGGAGTCGCAAAAACCATCAAGCGCTACAACGAAACTGGCACACATGAGGACCGACCCAGGAAAGGAAGACCAAGAGTCACCTCTGCTTCTGAGGATAAGTTCATCCGAGTCACCAGCCTCAGAAATGGCAAGTTAACAGCAGCTCAGATCAGAGACCAGATGAATGCCACACAGAGTTCTAGCAGCAGACCCATCTCTAGAACAACTGTTAAGAGGAGACTGCGCGGATCAGGCCTTCATGGTCAAATAGCTGCTAGGAAACCACTGCTAAGGAGAGGCAACAAGCAGAAGAGATTTGTTTGGGCCAAGAAATACAAGGAATGGACATTAGACCAGTGGAAATCTGTGCTTTGGTCTGATGAGTCCAAATTTGAGATCTTTGGTTCCAACCGCCGTGTCTTTGTGAGACGCAGAAAAGGTGAACGGATGGATTCCACATGCCTGGTTCCCACTGTGAAGCATGGAGGAGGAGGTGTGATGGTGTGGGGGTGTTTTGCTGGTGACACTGTTGGGGATTTATTCAAAATTGAAGGCACACTGAACCAGCATGGCTACCACAGCATCCTGCAGCGACATGCCATCCCATCCGGTTTGCGTTTAGTTGGACGATCATTTATTTTTCAACAGGACAATGACCCCAAACACACCTCCAGGCTGTGTAAGGGCTATTTGACCAAGAAGGAGAGTGATGGAGTGCTGCGGCAGATGACCTGGCCTCCACAGTCACCGGGCCTGAACCCAATCGAGATGGTTTGGGGTGAGCTGGACCGCAGAGTGAAGGCAAAGGGGCCAACAAGTGCTAAACACCTCTGGGAACTCCTTCAAGACTGTTGGAAAACCATTTCAGGTGACTACCTCTTGAAGCTCATGGAGAGAATGCCAAGAGTGTGCAAAGCAGTAATCAGAGCAAAGGGTGGCTATTTTGAAGAAACTAGAATATAAAACATGTTTTCAGTTATTTCACCTTTTTTTGTTAAGTACATAACTCCACATGTGTTCATTCATAGTTTTGATGCCTTCAGTGAGAATCTACAATGTAAATAGTCATGAAAATAAAGAAAACGCATTGAATGAGAAGGTGTGTCCAAACTTTTGGCCTGTACTGTATGTCAACACTCTCCCACAAACAGCTGCTTAAATCTATCCATTCAGGCAGAATGACTTTTTAAAACTGTACTTTCTGCTGCACATAGCCCATTAACATGGCTAATTCAAGAAAGCATTAAAGTGAGTAGCATGAAAAAAACAAACAAAAAACAAACAAATCATGAGCTCAACTACATAGACATCAAACTGTGAAGATCACTAGATTTATCTTGAGATGTTTATTCTTAAAAAAAAGTAACTCAACGTAGAACAGCCAATCAAGACAGCTTGAAAAACATGCATGCAAAGAATATTAGTTGAAGCAGGATGGCCTCTCACCTCAGCAGGTTAGGTGCCCAGACAATGGCCAAGTTCTTGCTGTGCATGTTGGTGATGTAGCTGAATGCTGCTAGGCGGGAAAGGTGTCTCATAAGGAACTCCAGGGTCCTAGGAATCAAATATTCATGTATTCAGATTTAATTGGCTTCCACTAGTGATGTGCAGACTAATGGCCATAATAGAGCTTCTTCTTAGGAGCATCAATATTTCACTATGTACTCAAATTTCAGAGGAATGTCACGTAGAAATTTGCATTTGTATGCTTTCACAAACGACAGAATATTCAATTCATCATCATCAACGCAAAGACCAGCTGGAACCTGTTAAATGATTCCACCCAAACAGTGTGGCACCAGAAAAACCTGTGATTTTACCATAAACAGACATAACATGAGTGTGCAACTGTAATCTGGCAGCTCCCGAGGCTGCCAGAGGGGGGCAGTGTGCCTCTACACTGACCTGTAATGCGGTGGAGGAAGCTGCTGGATGACATCATGGATTTTGATGAGTCGTTCTTCGTCCGTTGCTGCTGATACAGCATCCTTCAGAGTGAAAACAAAGGGAGAGATTGGGAGATAAACAGAGGGATGTATCGGTATATCAACATTCAGATCATTCACTTGTCATCCCAGGTACACACAGCTACATGGAGCACAGAGGGTACAGTCTGCAGCCACAGACCCCCCCCTCCAGCTGCCATAACAACCATCAAACATTTACTTCATCTTCAGGAACGCCTCTGTTGTGCTTGGAGAAGGTTTTTATTCCAAGTCACACAGAGAGTGGTTTGCTGCATTTGTAATGATAGGGTGTGTCAAGTACAATGCAATTATTTTAGGGTGTCTGTGACTCAGAACTGCAAGATCAATTTGCAGAATTCCTATAAGATAAATGTGAGGAACTTCCTGCCATTGCTGTAGAGAACAAGCACAAATTTGAAATCAGCAGTCAGTCACACCCACTCAATGACCTGTAGGCCATCTATAAGCACTGTAATAGTTAGCAGACTTGTATCCACATATAAGTGTAAAAAATTGTTGTGTGAGAAGTGTTGAGTCCTGCTAGGGCTTTGCTTACAGAGAATTTCTCGTAGAGCTGGTAGGTGAGCAGGGGGTTGGGCAGCTCTCTGAAGTAGAGCTTACACAGCGAGCCAACACAGTGGATGTCCTGGATGTAAACATCTTTGGTCAGGTCGGGGATCTGCTCAGAATCAAACTCGTGCCTGATGAAAGAGAAAGAGGATAGAAGCAGAGTCAACAAATTAACTTCTTGTGAAAAAAACTGTATCAGTAAATGACTGCTGTAGTTTAATGGAGACATGACAAAAAGTAATGCAGCATTTTTGTAGTGTTTTAGGAGACAACATTATTGATCTGTGCCTACATCACTTATTCTTTAATCTTCCTATTTCTGTTGAAAGTTAAAACATATCCAATGTGGTAACAATCTAATCTCAGGCTGCACATAAACAGTCAGTACGTTTACATGACATTAGAGAAAGTCAATTTATTGTGTTAGTCTGACTAAAATTGCACTTTTGAAAAACATGTAAACATGTTAGTCAGACTACAATCGTACTAAATAGAATTTCTCAAAGTCAGACTAACACACCCAGATAATGCAATCGGGAGTTGAATTACTCCTTCATGTATACAGTCAATTGTACCCAAACTGGCCTGTGTGCTGTGCGCATGCTCCACAGTTTCCACCTTGGGCTTTGAACTGGATGTCGAATAACATCAAAGGCGTCCCAGAAGACGAAGCCAGTAACACCATGGCGAAATCTAAATCCAGACCTGTACATTTTTGGATGAGCAAAATGTGCAGAGCTGTAAAGTTGTCCACCATGGTACCAGTTTAGCTAACCATAGCTAACTTGTTTGTCGATTGTTTTGTCTGTGACATAAATCAACCAGAAAAAGGTCCAATACTAACAAGCTGAAAGGGGGCATATCGCTTCTTCTCGTAGCAGAGAAGGGCATACTCAATAAATGATTCCTCTCTCCTGCTTGTATACTGGGACAAAGACAGTAGTCCAATTAAATGGCCTAATTGAGCTATAACCATAGCTCCACTTAACTGTGCATGTAAACGTTCTGACTGTGTCATGTGGTCGGGGGTGTACACTGTGTTTTATGTTATGCTTGAATTTCGAAGTGGGGGGACACAATCAAGTTGAGGTTCCTCGACAAAAAATACTGCATGTGATAAAATGTATTTCCATTTACTTACTGTAAAACTAGAAAATATAAAATAAAATAAAATAAAAATAATAGGCCTAATATACTCTGTAGGTTAAGCACATCTCTCTCTCTGTTTTGTCAAGTAGTTTGATCGTCACTCCGGTTTTATCTTTATTCTTCAAATTAAGTGACAGTAATGTATCGCAAACTAAGCGAATTTTGTGAAAATACGCAAAAGAAAATGTGAATTTATGCACGTTTCCATTCATTATTGTTTTGCGAGAATTGAAAGTCAAGTCAGGTCGAGCAGTAGGTGGCGCTTCTCGTGAAAAATAAAAAATAAAAATGCAAAAGAACACCCGCAGAAGAAGAGGGCTCCATGAGATGACGTCACTGAGATCGTCTCATGTCCACAGCTGATGTAAACAACTACCGGCACATCCATGACTACGATGAGATGGAGAGATTCCTTGGGAACTTCTTGGCTATTGTGAAAGCTCTCATCACACTTATATCAGCGTCGTCAGTGTACATAAGTGTCCTGAAAAAGAAATGAGAAAGACTACACTCACTGAACAGAGTACTACTGTTAGAAATTGGGAGAAGGGGACCACTGCGTCGTTGTCCGCGTGTATGGGAAGGTAGGCGCATAAAGGACTTTTGGGAAGTAGTTGTCCAGCAGCAATTCACTTCCCAGTGAAGTAGAGATAGGATCCGGTAGCCTACGTCATCGTTTATTCGCTAAATCTGTTTCCATTGCCTAAGGTCGCATTTTCCTAATATCAATACGCTGACTTTTCCACCCCCTCCAAGCGTAAAAACTTTTTTGCGATATTTCAGCCTTTTTCAGAATTTCTGGCATTTCCATTCACGTTTTTTTTACCCCGCAATTGTTGAAAATGCAAATAAAAATAGGTGGATGGATGAATCGTGCTGCTCCATGGCTGCCTGTGATGATGGCGAGATTGTGTGAGTGTGTCTAACAGCAGAGATGCAGCAGTAAAATGTGTTTAACAGGAGAGGAGACGCTGTGTGTGTGTGTGTGTGTGTGTGTGTGTGTGGCTGGCTGGCTGGCTGGCCAATCTGAACAATTTTACAAAGCAGCTACCAAATAAGAATCTTTATGTTTTATTCTCCTTTATCATGAACAAGGATATCGAAATGTTTGACTCAGGTGATACTTGTTGAAAGTACGGCTCATCCCTAGTAACCAGGTTACTACAGTGCATGTAAACATGTTCCTTAATTACTTGGTTGATAAAAGCGACACTTAACTTTATGGAAATTTTCCGCTTTCCTTTGTTTAGGTTAAAATGCTATTAATAGGTGATGGCACACTAAAATGTAAGTGAATTCCACCAGAGATAAAAACTCATAAGTGTACCATTCTCATATGGTTCTAAGAAAACTCAGACCAATCATTGCATCCGGACCGATGCAATGATTGGCCGAGTGTCCTGTCTGTCTTTCCCAAGTGTAAAAAAACAAAAGAACAAACAAACAAAAAAAAAACCAATAACAAAATACAATAACTCATAAGATGTCCACAACTCGTATGTTTACATGCAACAACTGTTGTAAAAGCTCTGATTTTCCAAGTACAAGCTCTTATCCTGGTATGACAACATTAAATAGTAAAAACTGCTGACAACATTTACACTGTGCATTGTCCCATTTACTTTTACAGATGCAATAATCCCGAATGAACTAATGTTATCAGCCTTTAGATGAGGGCTATGGTAGGATTAGATTTGTGAGCTCCTCGTTTGACAAAGGACATTTCTGTGGAATGCGCATACATAGAGTGGAGATTCAGAAATACTGTAATATACAGGCAGTGTGTCTCCTACCGCAATTTCTGGATATTTGAGGCGATGCCAGAGAGGCGGTAGATACCGTCCACCACACCGTGCTTCTCAATGAACTCGGTGCAACTCTTGAGGACCTGGGGTACTGTGAAGAGAACAACAGTGTATCATCATGTAACACATCAGTCAATATTTTTCCAGTCTTTACTGAACACTTCAAGGTCAAGAACACAAGGATTTTTCTTTTAGAAGAATGAGTACAGAATGGTCAGGGTCGAGCTTAGGGGCTTTTTGGACAAGAGGCTGCAGGCTCACATGAATTACTGAGTGCACTGGAGGCAAAAGCACTTTTCAAGCTGACCGTGGAAACATTTGAACCATGTAAAATAGAAATAAATGTATACTGACGAGCTTGAAAAATATTTTGTTTTTTTTTTAAGTGCTTTTGGCTATCCTTTAACCCGTCTACAATAATGCAGTTTTCTGGATAAAGCAAATAGTTAGAAAACATGTTGTCAGTGAGTGAGGCAGCCAATCACAGACACTCGGCTTCAAAGCACAATGCCAGTGATTGTGTTAGAGATGGGCAGACAAAAAAAGAAAAACCTCAGAAAAACAGAGCTTCTTAATTCTCCTTCACCAACCATGAATCATGCAGACATGCCATTTATCTCTGGGTGTATGTGTGTATGAGAGATAAGGATGGTGGGTATGTGTATAAGGAGGCTCCCAAGCCTCCCACAGCTCACACATCATTCAGAGGATGACAAGGAGTGGGACACTCGCTGAAGCAGCTGTTCAGACGAATTCCACACATAGCGAAAGAGAAAACAAGGCCGAGATTTGAGGAAACAACATTCTGCAGCGGAAGAGAGGACAGTGAGGGTGGATAAATCCTCTCCAAGTTCTTCATGTAGGAAGATTTTGTTATGAAGTCCTCTTATCACCAAGATACATAACATATGGAGCCACACAACAAGACACACAAAAACCCTGTCATATTCTAGTTAAAACAACAGCATTGAAAGCAACAGAGCTGTAAACAATGATTTTTTCCCTTGCATGTCTTTTTTAAAAACCCAAACTGACTCAAGTGCAACAAGAAGTGAAAACCTTCCGGGGCTACCGCCAGTACTGCAGTGACAGAACTGAACACATATAAACTCAACAATTAACAACTTACAACTTAACAATTAATGGATAGTGCCATGTAATACCGGTATAATTTTTATTATGATATATGTAGTTTTTTGTCAACAAGGCAAAATATTATACTCATGATAATAAGTATCTTGATATGTGAATGTGCAATAGTTATGGTAGCATAACAGCCTGTCACAGGTTACAACGTGTTGATAAGAGGAGAAAGCAGAGCATAAAGGTCCAAGTGGAAAAAAAAAAATCCCAACTCAATCATGAAGGATTTTGCTAAGAGAAGGCCTGTTGATATATATAGATCCCAGGGGACATTTTTTTATATTGGGGAACTGTTTAAATGTGTAATTTGTGGTTAGATTTTGTTTATTTTGTTATTAATATTGTATCAAGAATCTGAATCTCTGAGTTACTAATGTTGTTTACAAACTAACAAAATGAGAGATCATTCAGTTTTTACTGAATATTTGAGTTAGAAACTGTTAGAAACAGTTAGATTGACATGTAAACATGTAGTAAAGGAGGTAAGCATCAGCGTCACGACCACGGTCTGACAGCTGGAGCGCACTCTGAACTACGGGAGCCCAGCGGGAAGCATCGGTGGCGGATGTTAAAGAGAAACTCGATTTTCATTAAAACAAATCGACCTAAACTACAAATTCGAATTCAATAAAATCGATTTATTGCCCAGCCCTAGAACACAATAAAATGTCTGGGTTGTATTGTGGAGGAATTATATCAAAAATAAATTCTAACAACTTCTTCTTTGTTCCTTTGTCCTTTGGCAGTCCAAACAAGGGTAATTTTTGGTCACATTGAAGAAAGCAGTGTCTCCTAGACATGGTGTCTCCTCAACAGCTCCTCAACGGTTCAAACTCTGCAGCCTCTCTCCTCCACCTCTACTAGGAGCAGGTTTGTTTGGGGGTGCGGCTCAGTGGCCAGCAGGCGGGCACTGTGTGCCATGCTAATTGCACATTGTTATGCATCATAACAATGTGCAAATATGAAACAAATTTCTGGAACTAAAGGTGGGAAATTCAAACAATCTGTTTCAGGCAGGTCAGGAACTGTGTGTCTGTGGGGAGACAGAACTCCCTTTAGCCTGGACCTTTTTTTCTCCACTTAGCAGACCTTATAGAGGCAGAAAAATGCTATATATACAGACCTGAAGTTTTAGGAAAAAGAACATGGTCTGGGTTACAATGAAAAGATTTCTTTCAGAAATGACTTTCTGACAGAAAGCATTTACAGTTAACTTATCCCATATGCTGTTTTATGTGTTAGTGGAGTCAGTTTAAAGTAAACTTCACTGCACTTAAGCGGTTACAGTTACTTACATTATTTATGTGTTGTTTTTGCCTTTTATGGCCAAAAGTAAAAAAAAGTAGCTTCTTCTTCTGTAACAGACTGTGTTATATGGGTTGATAATATTGTCTCATATCGATTGCAGGCCCCTAAATCGTATCAAATCGAAATCGTATCATGGCAGACTTTTGTAATATCAGCATATATCGCATCGATTTCAAAAAAATCCATTTAATATTGTATCATGATGAAACTAGTGATTTACACCCCTAGGGCCACAGTCAGTGTGTTTGTAAGATTTGTTGCAATACTGTAAGTGACAAAAGATCAGTAAGGTTCAGATTCATTTAGCAAATAACAATAATAATAATACAGATAATAAAAAACATAGATGAAGATGTGGAACTTTTTAGACAATTGCATATAAATCATAAATCACTATATTGGGCCAAAAAAAGAAAGAAAAAAAAGAAAAGAAAAGAAAAGAAAAAACAGCAACAAAAAGAAAACGGATCATTTTCCCGTATAGATGAGCCCTATTTTATGCTGAAAGTGGAAGCAGAGATGTTGGGGTTAAACAAGACCGGCAGTCATCCCCTCTGACAGATGAAGGCAGTCTGTGATAATGTCGATGTTATTCAGCTTCAAAGCAGTTGTCTGAAATTAGTTATGACTCAGGCTTTGGGAAAAACGACAATAATGTACCACTTGGTAGCTTTTGATTTATATCATTAAACTCCATTATTTCTTATATTGTAATTTGAAGAAGTGTGGAATTTTAATAAAATCTGCAACACGATACTGTTGATATGTTTTTGAAGTTCTTGAATGATAAAGAGGACTCATAACTTGCTTTTCTAATCAACAATATATTATTTTTGAGGGCTTTAATGCATGAAATAAATGGCACACTATTAGATCTGGGGCTTTTTATTAATATTATTATTAGGCTTATTATTATTTTTTTTTTAAATACATATATGTATATTTATTATAAGATAGAATTACTGCCACACAGCTGTATCCCTCCACAAACCAGTCGAATTGTACTTACAGTTTACATCCATGTCTGTGAAAACATGAATATTTCACATACATCAATTCAGTATCTGACCAAGTGTCTCCCCATCTGTTCCTGAGTTGTGGCATTGAATAATGGCCAGAAAAGTATTATTGTGGAACACAGTGAAAACAGAAAAACATTTAAAATCACAGAGCACCTTATAACAATATCAAATTACAAGTACATCACATAGTAAATGGGGCTCTGAAAGGAATTTAAATTTGATGTTGTTTTAAGGTGCTCTGTGATTTTAAATGTTTTTCTGTTTTCACTGTGTTCCAAGCTTGTTTTATAATGTAGCACTGTATGACAAGACAAATATGGCTTCCATTTGTATGCCTTTCAGTTTGCCATCCAGTATTAATAAACTACAACTCCCAGAAGGTGGAGTTCCTACCACCAGGGTTACACACAGGTGTACTGCATACAGCCAGTGATCAGACTGAGATTGGTTACTTTTACCAGCCTGTCCACTGTTGCCTCATGTATGCTCTGATGAAGGTCTAACAGACTGAAAGCTCAACAATTAAGTGAAATACTGCACAGATGTAAGTGTGCGGAAATCTTTTTCTACCAATCTGGATTTATTGATGTTTCCAGCACCTTGCCAAGACTGAGGCAGGTGGAGCGGTAGCTATTCTGCATCATGACCCTGTGCTTAAAAATGACAGATGGCAAAAAAGTCTAATGCAACCTCTGGTCAGAACACCTTGACCATTTGACCCTGCAAAGTAAGACAGAGTGTCTCATCTCTCTGTGTTAGGTAAGATAGAATTTAGGGAGGTCAAGTATCGACTTCTGTGTGACTGCAGTGCAGAGCCCAACACTGATCTGTGACCGGATGCTTGTTGAAGTGACAGGACTCAGTGTGATCACAGTGAGCTGAAGTGCTGATATAATGAGAACCATTCATGTCCAGACATAGAATATGATCCATTAACATAAATACATGGGTTTGAAGTTGGTGTTAAAGGATAACTTCGGTATTTTTCAACCTGGGCCCGATTTCCCCATGTGCATGTGTGCGTATGATTCATAGGTACAACTCGTTCTAAAATTGGTTCAGTATTGAGGGAGGGGGATACAAGCGGGAGCCGCAAAACGAGCTAAAACGGTAACGGGGGCAAATGCGTCCCGTATAAGTTTGCGCATTAAAAGTGTTTTTTTTTTCGCCAATGACCAGTTCAGATCACCAGTGTTATCTCTGTAAATAGCATACTAGCCTTTCCCTTACCTCTGGGCTGTGTGATGTCACGAGCTCTGCTCCACTGTGTCTGTAGCTCTCTCTACTCGTGGGACAGCTGTTTTCTTGAGGAAGAGGTGTTTTGGGATTGGATGTCTTCTCTTCTTCGGCTGGCGGTAGTCATCTTGGGAGAAATGAGCACTGCAGACCCGATGGTCTGCAAGGCGCAGTGTCTGGAGAGGAGTGTTAGCATCCATTTGTAGCACAACTAGCCACAACTTCAGCATCTTGCCATCCGACAAAGGCAGCCTATGAAATCTGTACGGGGTGTTGTGCGACATCCTGTTCTTGCGTTCGGGAAAAAGGCCCATTTATTTGAGCACTCCAAAAACTCCGGTAACACTCCAGCGGGTAGCACGTAAAAGACTCCGTCCCAAACTCTGACTCTCCTAGCGTAACACACACACTTCATACACACATACTCACTCACAGTACCCAGCAGGTACACTGACTCCAACACTGACTGACAGCTGACTCTACTCATACCACACTCACCACTGCCCCAGGGTCGCTACAATGTGCTATTTACAGAGATAGCACTGGCGATCTGAACCGGTCAGTGGCGAAAAAAAAAAAAGCACTTTTAATGCGCAAACTTACACAGGACGCATTTGCCCCTGTTACCGTTTTAGCTCGTTTCGCGGCTCCCGCTTGCATCCATCTCCCTCAATACTGAACCAATTTTAGAACGAGCTGTACCCATGAATCATACGCACACGTACACATGGGGAAATAGAACCCAGGTTGAAAAATACCGAACATGATCTGCAAACAAGTTATTGATCAAGCTTCAGCAGCAAAATAGCATCATTACACTGGTTGGAGCTGATAGTGTAATCAGGACACTATTATCCTCCAACTCACTGAGACCATCACATCAGCTCAACCACCAGACACCATGATGTTGAGCGCTCAGAAAATCAATGAAGCTACAGCAGATAAATGTAGGTGTGGACTTTAGCCCAGCAAACATCTTAATTACGACCAGAGAGGGCGGGTGATTACATACAGCTTGTGGCGTGGATTTGCTTTGAGAAAGTAAATGACGACTTTTATGTGAACACCATTAGCTTATAAATTGGAATGGATGACGCAGCAGGTGTGTTTGGGCTGGCAACATAAACACTGAGCTCTGTCAGTCATGATGTTACTGCTATATGTTTAACATTAACATGTCAATAATTTCATTCCATAATTTGAGCCTAATGGATCATGATGCTCCATTATCGTGGGCTTCGGCACATGCTCTGCTGCAACATCAGCATGTCACGTCAGCTGTTAAGCTGTTAGTGCAAACAACACTCATCACGCCCTCGACATTACTACCATCTGGATGGAGACGGATGGAGAAGAGTTGTTTCAGCAGGAGTTTTGTCCCTTCTGCCATAGCAGCCCTGAACAATCTGCCTCGCTGACACTGTTGATACTGGAAGAGACATGAATGTATTCATGAAGATTTTACGTATTGTTGCTGAGTGCTGTGTACACAGGCTGTAAAAACAAATCTCCCTCTGGAACTATAAAATAAAAATCTAACTGAAAGAACCTGATAAACTACTGTGTCTCACACTTCATAATACCGTATATTATCAAATGAAAGCAGGTACTCACATGATGGCTGAGTAAAGTAATAGCAGGGGGGACTATTTCTTGTCTGGATGCAGTCACTACCTTAAGCCTTGTCGTCACTCTGAGGTTGCCAGCCTATCAGCAGAGACTCCAGGAAGTCACTGCACCCAGCAAAGAAAAAGTCTTGCACATAACCCTCCATAAAACTTGTTGTTCGCACACTTTGGATTTTGTACATATTAAACAAATAAAATTTAAATTTTTGATTAATATGCTTTTGTGGTGCCAGTAGGCAGATTCTGTTACTTTTGGACAAAGTGAAGCAAGCTGTTTCCCCCTGCTTCCGGTCTTTGTGATAAGCTAGGCTAAACCAGCTGCTAAATGTGGTTCCATATTTGAAGCCTCATTTCCGCTGCATAGTATGGTACAGCTTGACTCAACTCGACTGGCTTGGAAACATTCTTTTTTTTTTTTATTGGCAGAAGCTGTGGATAGTACCTGGTATTTTTTTGGCATCACCTCGGTCAAGGGTCCAGTCGAGCTGAGCCAATACTAGACGGTGGAGTTAAACACTGCCGACCACTTACAAATCAGAGAATTCAGTGGAATAGCTATGATGATCAGCTAAGATTCCCGAATCCAATAATCCTAACTCCCATCATGTCTAACTGTTAACTATTCACCCTGGAAGACTTTTCCCAAAACTCAAACCTACTCCAGGGGTTGTTGAGTTTCAGCGTTGGCAAAGTGGAACAACTGGAAATGGTTACTAAATAAGGACAGTATTTCTGTTAAAAAGACAAACTCATAGCAGCGGAGTACATAGTGAGTATGACATGTTTGGAATTAGAGCTGGAGAAATTAACCAGAGAACAGGTAAAATCAGGAATCAGAGCCTGTATCTAATGAAAGCCTACTGCATATAATTGCCTGTTCTCGCTGCCTTAAATCAAGGACCTGGCCACTATTTGAGAATTTATGGTGGTGAAAACACCAGGACATACTACTGCTCTCAGGTGTTAGGGCTGGGTATCAGTATTTGATACCTTTAAGGTATTGACCAAACTAACGTAGCACCAAGTGGTACCGAAACATCTCCAGTCAAACGATCCCTGCATTTGATCCCTTTGGTGCTGGGAGTCTTATCCTGGATAGTCCCATCTCCCTGCTGGACCAGCAGACTTTCTGTTACAGCCATCTCCGGAGCTGCTATCCACACAGAAATGGTCAGTTCAACACCTGCCCAGTAAGCACAAGCTACACTGCTGCAGCAGCAGCTAATGCCCAACACCAAGCTGTTAATCAGCCCCAACAAACATAAAACTGACACAGAAATGGCTCGATTCTGTTGTTAAACCCATTCATGTAAAGCTATGTGATGTTAAAAGTTAGCCCTGTCACTGTGTGTGTGTGGCCGGGTGGACTCTCACAGCTTTCACTGGTGCAAAGCTCCCACTCAGCAGCAGCAGCAGCTTCAATTTCTTAAGTATCCAGATGTCATAACCTACATTCAACAAAACATCAATATCGAACAACTGGGGTGGCCCGCTGGGGTGTTTTCAGAGGATAGAGAAAGATGTTTTGTTGGTGCTGTCATCTTTGGGTGCTGTTAAACAAGTGTCATAACTCTCTCTTTCTTCCCATCTCTCTAGTGATTGAAGCAAAAAAGCCCAGGCTATCAATTTTTATGGTATACATGCCACTCAGTAGGCAGTGGTATAGTACATTTTTAAGGGATACCCTGGCCCATCAGGTGTGTCTGCATGTTTCTCACCATCATGTCCAGAGTTGAGGAGGTGTTCTCCCAGGTCGCAGCCGAACACCCTCTCCCGGAGGATGCCTCTCTGCTTCAGTTTCTGTTTGGTGGGCCTGGACTTCATGAAGGAGCGCAAGAAGGTGATCAGCTTCCCGTGCTTCTTAGACACTGAGGAACAAGGGAGGGAAGGAAGGACACATCTTAGATCTCTTTCACATCTGTTTACCATTCTACACTAAGTGTGGGTTTGACACTGGCCCAGCTTCTACACAAGGTCCATCTATGGACTAGAATGAAACCACATACAAGCTGCTCAGGGTTGTCCCATTGTGTATTTCAGCTTCATTCTAATGCAAACCCTTTCTTTTGCATGTATAGTTTCCTTGAGGCGAAGGCTTCATTCTTAAATACCACCTCCAAGGCAACTACAAAGGAATCTTCTACATCAATACCAGTATCCTCTACTCCCCTTCAAAAAACGACAAAAAAGGGAGTAGACCTACTTAAAATCCCAAACCGCATTAATTAGATACTATGTCTGGGAAAGAGTCGTAAGCTTCTTAAACTACACACCAGTTGTTTTCTCTGCTTTAGAGAGATGTGGAAAGGCTATCAGTGAATCAAACAATCTGCATTTTTTTGGAGGGGGAACAATAGAGTTGTTCTAAACTCCAGACATTTGTTCAAAAGATCTTCAGTGAAAAACACACACTGTCAGTCACTGGTGAAATGACAGTAGCAGTATTTGACCCTTCTAGGGTCATTTACTAGACTTTCCTATATAGATGAAAGGAACCTGCCTGATGAGAGCATCAATTTTCCTTTAACTGAGAATTCAGTTCAGTTTAAGTTGTCCATCAGTCTTGGTTAAACAGACACAAAAACAGAAAAAACTAAAACAGTCACACTAAAATAGATTCAATCCAGAAGTGTCACAGTTCATCTAACATGTACGACAGTAGATGCACCCATGCCATCCATTAAATGTCAGTGTAGTTATATAGAAATACCACTTGCTGGAGATTATTGATCAAAACAAACTATTGTTAAAAACAAACTACTTCACTATTACTATTACTAATATGAAAGTATATTGTAAAACTGTGAAGAAGAGCAACCTACCTATCTTGATATTAACAGGATGTTTCCCAGGTGAACTTTTTAAAACTCTTAAAGCAGCATCAGCTGCTCGTCTCCATTTTTCATACTTCACTGCTCTGTAAAGCTTTTGACTCAGACCTAACACACCTGAAAGAGTAAAGCATGTCTTCCAATCACTCATCTTCAGTGACTCTATGTTCTCTCAATGGTGTCAGTGGTCGGTTCTAGGCTCCTGTCACTGCAAAGACATTCTTGTCTTGGGCCTAATTTTTTTCCAGTTGTCTCTCTTTGATCCTCTGTGGACACTTGATCATTTTCTACTTAACACTGACTTTGACCAACAGCTTTTCCATTTAATGACTTTACTCTGATGTCTTGTACTATTCCTTCTGAATCCTGGAGATCAGAGTTAACGATAGCTCACATATGCCGGCTTTTAGTCAGTATCAAGTGTAGTTGTCTGGCAGATGAAAATATCAACGGCCAAAATGTCCAGTGGTAAATATGCGAAATAAAAAAGCCTAATATTTTGTGACCTATAAGATAAATTAACAGGACAACTTAAACATAAACTAATAAAGACCAACTTTTAGATTTTTATTACAGATAGATCTATTTATCAACCAACGATGTACAGGGGGTGTCTCTGCCTCTTCAGAGAATATACCAGATCCACTGGGGTCACGGTCTTCCTGGGACACACTGCCCACATAAACAGTGCTGCTTGGGGTTATCTCAGCTACTGCTCAGCTGTGGAACATCTAGAGAATGGGAGTCATGTGACGCGAGTGGTTTCAGCAAAAACCAGTGAAAATGGTCTTTTGATAATCATATTGACACCATACCAACTTTCACTACAGTGTAAATGTCTTTATCTGTCACAGACATGAAAAAACATAAATACTTCTTTTTAACTCAACCCCCTCCTGTTTCTGTTTCAAACTTTTGCAGGTATTTGCAGGACCATGTTGTTGACAATGCAATTGCTTGTATGGTTCCATAAATTTGTGGAGTACCAGCTTTTATTTGTGTTTCAATTGTGGAATACTGTGGCCTGGGCATTTATTATTGTGCTCAGTGTAGTTAGGTGACAGCATCACGGATCACATTCTCCAGGAAGACCTTCAACACACCGCAGGTCTCCTCATAGAACAGACCAGATGCATGCTTCACTTCACCATGGTGAGTCGGATGGTGGATAGCGGGCTTGGTGATTTACAGTGACACTTGGCACACCGAGTCCTTTTCTTTCTTTACCTCTGCCACTAAACCTGTGATTAGTCTCTGCTCAATAGACCTCTTCTTCATTTATCTTATTTTCAAGTTATTTAATCTGAAGTGTTTTATTACCATTTAAACATAAGCTATGTACGTTATATGGCTATATGAATCATTTGTCCTGTCATTCTATATGGCCAGAATTCTGGAATAATAATGGCCATATTGGCTGTCTAGCGTAAACCCTGCAGGAGACCAATAAAATAACAGGGAGGACTTAGCCACTGTCAATGCTCCTAACATCCAAAACAGACATGTAATCTCACTCAGGAAAAAACAACCACCCAGGAACACTTGCTGGAAGTTTACTACCAAGGACCGTATTAATAACATCCATTACCTATCTGATAAATGATAATTATGTTCTTTCAGCCACACAACATCTGAAACTTCAGTAAATCTTTGAGAACAGAGTGATAACACCAAAATGTCTGAGGTGCTCCGGGCTTAAGTGGAAAAACTGCTGTGTTGCATCAGTTTTTTTATTTATATTCCAGGACACATTCCTCTAGCTGATTATAAACACAGTCACGATCACAATCCTTCCACCTCTCTCATTATATTACTTCAGTCAAACTTCAGTCCAACACACACACACACACACACACACGCACACGCACACACACACACGCACACACACACACACACACACAGGAAAGAAAGACCTATTTCCACATTACTGTGTCATACATGCTCTACTATTACTGCACAGCAAGATGTGGTTTACAGTGAGTCTTTTTGGTTCACCATCAGAGTGCAGAGAGAATGTGATGAAGTGTGTTGAAGGTGAAGAAAGCATTCACAATTTAATCAAATAAATGCCTAGTCTTTGGAGAGGCGGAGTCTGTGTGAAGTTGAGCTCAGCTTTGTTTGCAATACAACTGAAAATAGGCCAGTGCTTACCAAAGTCTATCTTCACAAACAAAATAAGCCGAGGTAAAGAAAGCTGAGGCTGAATTGTGTGTTTTGAAGACAACAACATTACAATAAAAGTGTCAGGGCAGCATCTCTACTCACAGCATATACCATGATTTATTAATTTAGACTTACACAGCATCATGAGGCACACACACATGCTGTAATAAATAGAACTGTTCAGAATAGGGCTGGGCAATATGGAGAAAATATCAAAATAATTTTGACTAACAACCTTGATACTGATACTGCAACAATACTGTAGAACTGGCAATTGATGCTAAAAACAAATAATAAAAAATACTTACACAATGAGAGTTTTGACAAATAATCATCAGCAATGTGGATGTAATGACTATGTAAGTAATGAAAAATAACAGGACAGCTACAATAGTATGGTAAGTTCAGAAAATTACATCATTTACATCACATGAAATGCACCCTTTAAAAACAGGAAAAGACACTTCTGATATTACAATATCTAAAATCTAAAGCCCAGTTCAGACCAAAGATTCACAATGAGACAAGACAAAACAGGCACCTACTGGCAACATTTTAAAAACCTGGTGTCACACCAATGCAACTGGATGAGACCATGTATCATCTCTGTGCAACATCTCTCTGTACTTTTGTTCTGATTTCCTGCTTCTCAGGCTTATTTTGTGGCTGAATATGATTTGTAGCTTCTTAAAATATGAATGAGGACAGTGATAGTGAGATACTGGCTACAGTTGGATTTGTAGTAGTGATGAAACAGCGAAACACAAAAACAAAATCAGATGGACTGCATTCATAAAAAAATGCCACAATAATATAAAAAACAGCATAAGTGCATGAGTGTGTGAATGAGTGAGTAAGGTGTGTGTGTGTGTGTGACTAACATAATAACATGAATAAAGCTAAGGCTTTGACAAATTGACTACAGCATTTTATTTTCCGTGTGTTGCTATTTTCTCTAGCAAAACTACATCGCCAGGTAACGTTAACCGCATTGATTTCTGTTATTTATCAGCCATTATAAAGCCATAATACACGTACGTTCTTTACATGCGTTATGAATCTCAGCTAACAATCACTGATTAAGGTTAACTGCAATTAAATGTGTCGTTAACGTACCTTGTTGTGTCGGATTCTCTTGGCAAACATGATGCATTCACTGAATGTTTCCTACTTAGATGTAGCATTGAGAATGTGCTGTTGTGGTGTGCTAACTCTGTTTTGCAAAAAACACTGAACTGTTTTGTTGTTTTCTTTGGCATGTCTCTCGCTCTTTTCTTGTCCCTCTTCCTCCATAGTTTTGCAATCTGCGCTTCACATCCATGTTACAGCTATGTAGGCTATCAACAGCAAAAGTAACAAGCGCATTATGCAACAGAAACAACCATCCATGCGAAACACAGTGCACTGTATAGTTATACTGGATTTAATGAAGCCTTTTTTCTGCAAAATTCTTTAACGGTTTTGTCTCGTTGCAAATCTTTGGCCTGAGCTGGGCTGAACTATCTAGTCTTATATCACAATATCAATATAATTTACAATAATAATGTAATGATATCATTACTGTTTTCTTATTGTTGCTTAAATTTTATGTACTTTGTGGAGCACTTTGTAACCTTGTTTACATAAGTGCTATACAAATAAAGTTATTATTAACATGGATATATTGCCTAGCCTAATTTAGAACCAGCTCAAACAGCCACTGTGTGAGACTTGGCCCTCTCATCCAGAGACAATTAGGTAAAAATTAATGAGGCTGCCTGTTTAGCATGCTTAATGTACACTATGGACTAAACTGTGTGCGGCACACTTAACTGACAGTCCACTGAGTACATTTAGAATGCAAACATCAAGCCCAAACTAAAACTAATGAACTG